ATATATATATATATATATAACGCCTCTTTGTCTTATTAGGTATAATAACAAATCCCCTTTATAATGATTCGTTTATTAACAGCGCAGAGGCAGACCTGTCCCCTTGCACCGTCTCCTTTTTATTTACCCCACTGTTGTCCCTGCTGCTGCAGCCAGCAGCAGCAGCAGCAGCAGCAGCAGCAGTAGCAGCAGCAATGGCAGCAGCAGCGGGGGCGTCAGCAGCACAGCAAGCCAATTCTATGGGGGCTATGTAGCTGCTGATGCTGCCGCGCTGCAACCGCTGCGCCGCTCTTTCTAGATCTGCTGCTGCTGCTGCTGCTCGTGCTGCTGCTCGTGTTGCTGCTGCTGCTGCTGGACACAGCTAATTGGGGTGTATAGGCACGAACACCGCAGCTATCTGCAGCACTAATGGTAACGATCGTCATCATATCTCCTTCTATCATCATAGTCTCCGCGCATGCACCTGCAGACCAACACAAGAAAAGGAGACACTTAATAAGACAAGGAGACACAAGGGAGACACACAGATATCCTGCACCCTACCCCACACCCTACACCCAACAATACAGATAACAGCAGCAGCGGTAGCAGCAGCAGCAGCTGCTGCTGCAGCTGCTGTTGCTCCTGTAGCAGCAGCACTGCACTACCGCAGCAACCATAGAAAAAGAGACAAAAAGGAGACAGTAGGCGATGGGCACGATCTGTCGAGGATAAAGTGTCTCCTTTTATTTATCCATGCAGCTGCAGCAGCAGCAGCAGCAGCAGCAGGTAACCGCCAACGTCATAAGCAGCCGTCGCTCTGTCTCCATTATGTGTCTCCTTTCTGTGTCTCCCTTCTGTGTCTCCTTTATGTGTCTCCATTAACACGTAAGCCATTAACGCCAAGATGTGCATGTTGTGTCGCGGTGTATGCATGCATGCATGCAGATGTAGACGCAGACGCATGCATGTGCATGCATGCATGCATGCATGCATGCAGATGGGTAGAGTAGCAGCAGAGGCCTTCGCCGAAGGAGACAGTCCCCTTTAGTGTTTCTCCCTCTATTGGCAGTAGTGCGTCCTTAGTAACGGCAGTAGCAGCAGCAACAGTAGGTGCTAATCAAGGAGAGGAGACAGGACACGAGGAGGAGCAGCAGCAGCTGCTGCTGTTGCTGCAGCAGCAGTTTTGTCTCTTTTTCTTCTTCCTTAGAGGCCAAGAGACGAAGATAGGAGCAGCAACTGTCTCCGCATGCAACAAGGAAGTGCAGCAAGGAAGAGACAACCACACGCACACACACACACACACAAAGGAGACAACAGCAACAACAACAACAACAACAGCAGCAGCAGCAGCAGCTGATGCAGGGCCATCAATACAGCCAGAGCTCGCCGTCTGTACACCGCAATTTCCTTTCCTGCTGTACGCCAACACCTCCAGCTGTACGTACACCTCCAGCTGTATGTACACCACGAGCTGCATGTACATCACGATCTGTACCTACACCACGAGCTGTATGTACACCTCCAGCTGTATGTACACCATCATGACCTGTATATGTACACCACGAGGTGTACATATATACTCCTTCAGCTGTCTGTACACCTCGAGCTGTACGTACACCTCCAGCTGTATGTACACCACGACCCTGTACCTTCCTACACCTCCAGCTGTACGTACACCATGAGCACCATCAGCTGTACGTCAACCTCCAGCTGTCCGTACACCACGAGCTGTCCGTACACCACGAGCTGTATGTACACCTCCAGCTGTATCTACACGACCGACTCTGTACGCGTACAGCACGACGAGCTGTAAGTACACCAGGAGCTGCCCGTACACCAGGAGCTGCACCACGAGCTGTACGTACACCACGAACTGCCCGTAAACCATGATCTGTATGTACACCATGAGCATCACCAGCTGTACGTACACCACGAGACGAGCTGTCCTTACAGCACCACGAGCTGCCCGTACACCACGAGCTGTCCGTACACCACGAGGTCTAAGCGCATGCAGTTTCCTTAGGCCATCAACTCTTAGAGGGAGGACGCCGTTATAAAGCCTAAAGCTGGTCTATCATCAGCACGAACTGCTTGTTGCGATGCATGCACAGCAGCAGCAGCAGCAACAGCAACAGCAGCAACAGCAGCAGCAGCTCATGATGATGCCTCTCTGCTCTTTCTCCCTCTCTCTCTCTCTCTCTATGCTCCGCCCTCCCGTCAACTTGGCGAACAGAGAGGAGGAAGGACTAACAGATGTGTCTTTGTTTGTTGTATGCAGAGTATATTAACGCGGTGTACGTACACCCCAAGAACAGCACGAATACTCCAATTAATGAAGGAAGAAGGAATAAGGAGGAAGGAGGGAGGAAGAAGAAGAAGAGGAAGGAGGAGACACTTATATAGATCCATTAAGGGCGGTCATTAGGGCGAGTGTCCCCTGGCCACGGAGAAACAAACACATACATATTGTCTCCAACCAGCAGCAAGAGGACAAAAAAAGGAAAAAAAAAAAGAAATAATAATAATACAACAACTTATGCCAATTACTCCTTTATACGCATTGTTGCATGCATGCATAGATGGGGTGTATAGGCAGCTTCAATGCATAACACCATTAACATTAACTGTCTCCTTTCTAAGGAGGCAAGGAGACACACAAAAAAACAATTGAAAATATACCAATAAATGCCCCATGCATGCATGCATGCACGCATGCATGCACGCATGCATGCATTGCCTCCACCGCACACACAGCCACGCATGCATCGCGGTGTACATACACCTAGTCATCTTGTATCAATAAGGACAAACCCCCAACTTTTGCTGCTTCCTTTTACTCATTTAGCGGATAAACATGCACATGCATGCGTGCATGCATGCAGCCCCTAAACAGGAGACATGATGCATGCATACATGCATGCATGCAAATAGAACAAAGTAGCCTAGTACAGACTGTAGCCCTCGTTGCCTGTTTCCCATCGTGTACCTGTTGCATGCATGCATGCAACTGCATGCAACTGCATGCAACCGCATGCAACTGCATGCAACCGCATGCAACTGTATGCATGCACTTGCATGCATGCAACTGCATGCATGCAAGAAAGTAGATATGTGTTATACGTACCGATTATACGAACGATCACGCCTAGGGGGACTCCTGGATCTACTTCTCCCTCCTCCTCCTCCTCCTCCTCTCCAATACTCTGGGGATCGGGATCGGGATCGATAGTACCCGCCTCCTCCTCCTCCTCTATTCCTACTAGGAGATCTACTACGGTAGCTGCTGCTGCCTCCTCTCCCTCCTCCTCCTCCTCCTCCTCCTCCTCTATACCCACCACCACCACCATAACCACCACCACCACCATAACCACCACCACCACCATAACCACCACCACCACCATAATAACCACCACCACCACCACCATAATAACCACCCCCCCCTCCTCCTCTATCATCATAACGACCATAACCACCATAGTCTCCTCTACGAGGAGAAGGAGATCGGTAACGTCCTCCTCCTCCTCCTCCATGGTATAAAGGTCTACACAGAACAAGGAGACACATATATATATAT